TATATATACATATGTAAAAATCTTAAAATGACTCCAATTGAAAAACTAATCCTCGAGGTTCATGTGAATTTTGCCATCACAGAATTCTGTGGTAATTTTGAAGTGCCAATCATGACAACGGGAGCTAGCTAATCTGACACTTAGAATCTTCTCAATCCTTGGAAATTGTAAACCACCACTTATTAAATTAAATGTGTAAAATAAGAATTAATTATGATCTTTGCACAGAACCCCACTTAAAAAGACCTGAGCTATTGCATTAATGTTACATGTCAAAAACATTATGAACCAGACTAAATGTGCAGTCACTGTCCGTGGTCCTGAAGCCTAAAAAACAATGAGGCGGGGGAAAAGTTTGACATTTGACGCCTTTTGAATGAACAATAAAACTATTGGTATAAACATTCTAAACTTACTGGAGTAAATGTTAATTTCCAGAAAGCACATTGGGCCTCATGCAAGAACATGTTCATATTCTTATCCTAAATTTATCTTACTTTTGTTCGTACAAAGGGTTCGCACGAACATGCCACGTCAGATTCAACAAACTCTTCTATCTTCAGGAAAAGTGCGTAAATGAGCTGTGTAAATTCCACCTGTTCGTATCCAGCTGCACGTGCATGCGAGAGGAGATTAGCATAATTTCCATGCCAAAAACACCATATAAGGCTATGTTTCCTGCCTCAGATACAAGGAAGTGTCCATTCATGAAAAATGACAGCGGAAATTTAAAAGAACTTCATGAGTTCAGAGATTGAAGTCCGTCTGTCAGAGATCCAGAAAAGAAAATCTGTCATTTTTAGCAGGTCAGCTGTGGAATAAAATGAGCTGCTACAAGTATAAAAAACTGTGTTAAATAATTTTCATTTATTCAGAAGCCACACCATACGTTTCGGTTCTGAAATAAGCATTTTAAAATGTTTTTCAAAATATATCTGGCACTTTGGAGAAAATCCAGGAGTCGCTGGAGGGATTATGTATCCCCTCTGGCTTGGGAACATCTCGGAGTGCCCCAGGACGAGCTGGAAAGTGTCACTGGGGAGAGGGAAGTCTGGGTCTCTCTGCTGCTAACCCCGTGACCCGATCCTGGATAAGCCAGCCGGACGGACAATTTATATTGTTAGTCTAAATTATTACATTTAAAATTATAACTCTAATTCAAGCAGAATAGCCTATTGTCAACATAATTATGGAGTGTGATTTAATTTCAACTCAAAATATCTTCAAACTAACAAAATATAAAGTTATTAGTGAAGAAAACCCGTCTGGATAACAGCAGACTGACTGCTGGTAAAATATACGACAGGTCTGGACCACTCGTGAATTTTGTTCGTATCTGAAAAAAATCTTAGAATACGAAAACATTGGTGAATGTCACAAACTCTCCTAAATCACTCGTACGTTTGTAGGGGTCACCCTGGTGGAAAAAAAAACTTTTCTATTGTTTTTTTCTTTGTCTTTGATTTTATTTTTTACACTTATAAGAAGAAAGTCATTTTAAAGTATTTTTATTTTCTTTAAGTGAATAGAACAACAGGTTCTATATATTATCTCATTTAATCTTCTATTTGAGTTATAATCAATATAATCAAAGTTTTATTGATTTAATCTTTGCATATCTCTCTTTATTTTAGAGTGTAACAGTGAAAAGAAAATGAGTGAAATGTGTTTTATTTTGCTTTTTCTTAGTACTATTATTAGTAATGGTTTTATCATTTTCTTAATTGATTTAATGATTAATATTGTGTACTATTAATTTCATTATTAATCCATTTGTGCAAAGTGTGGTGATTTCTTAGCTGAGGTGAAGTCTGCTGTTGCAGCCTCAAGGTTTTTTTACTGATAAGTGCGCAGCTGGCCGCCCGTGAGAAAGGCACATTGTTTTGTTTCTCACCTTTCCTTCTAAAACTAACTTTCTGCTCACACTGCTAACAACTAGTCGTTGTTCGTCTGTTGGCCTGAGAGGATGGTTTTGTCTTTCTCTGAGGAGTGAAGTCCATCTTTGGACACCTGTGTGGATGGGACTAACATGCCGAAAAGCACCTGACTGGTTCCAGCCTGGAGCCCGCTGAGGCTAGTGGTGGAGGGAAGAGGCATCTCCCTCCTGTGCTGTCAATGGTGACATTATCCACCTGTGCGGACCGTATGCCGACTCTCTCTCTCTAAACTGTCCACCTTCCTGTGGTCTTCATCAAACCATCAAAAGGTAGACGAAGAGTAACTTGAGATAAACGTCGAAGCTGAGGTCTAGCCACGGAAATGTCTAAGAGATTGACACGCTGATGTGCTGGTCTGGTTGCACTTAAAAACAGTGCTAAAGTTACTAATTTCTCTCCTTCCTCCTATTCTTAAAACTTAAATCTTTACCTTTTTCTCTCTTATTTACTTAAGAAACTTAGTCAAGTAGTGCCAGTTGTATTATTACACCTGAAATTTACTGTTTTATGTCAACTCTGAGTGGAATTTTATGCCGTTATTATAACTTGTGTTTTTATTCATATAAYATTTTTATTAATATTTGTATGTTTATTCTGTTCATATATCTAAAATAAATTACTTTATTTTGAGAGATCTGTTCAGGTCACAAGTTCTTTTCTCATTCATGATCAGAGGGGTGTTTCATTATTTCTGATTTCATTTCTTGCAAGGTCTTGCTGGATCACATTTATGAAAATAGGCTGGTCCTGATTTCATTAAGTAATTCCTACACGTTCAATTTAAGAACAAATCTGTGCGTACGAACGGTTCTTGCATGAGGCCCATTGACTTTTCATCTGATTTATTGTCCTTTTTTTTACTTAAAAGTAAAATTTTTATTTACGGTAGTAGGAAACCTGAACTGTGAAAAAAACATCACAGAAGTATTCTTGAGAAAAGTAACAATACTAAAAATGTTTAGCAAAGTAACAAAAAACAAAGGTTAGTTGAACTTGAAAAGATTTAGTTTACTGGATTTTAACTACTAAAACTTGTTTTACAAACAATTATAATACCTGCTTTAAGGATTTGGAAAACAGCTACATTGAACAAAACATATTTGATACAAAGGTTATCAAAACTGTATATGTTAAAACAAAACAATTCAGATATTCTTAGACTAAATATTTTTCTACATTTTCAGTTCCATCAAAAATAACAGTTGCCACTTACTTATTTATTAATTACCTAAATAGGAGTAAGTACTGGCATCGCCTCTGAATACCACCTCCTCATGTGATGGACACAGACTTCCCTTGAACTCTGCAGCCTCCATATGTGTATTAGCATATGTGTCCACTGTTCTGTAGGTGTTATTGCTTGCGTTTATGTGTGTCGGCAGGCTAGCGGTGAGAGTTTCCTGTGAGGTTTGGATGAATGGAATGTGCGTCATGGATTGTGTGTCAGGGTGTTGGTGTGCAGTCAGGATCCATGTGCAGGCAGTCAGAGATGGATCAAGGTCACAGGAGCCACAGTAAGCTGTAGCTGCAGCAGCCAGGGGACACACAGCACCCTGTAAACACTGATGCTGCTCAGTGAGATGGGGACAAAGAAGAAAATGAAAGAATAGTTAATTGGGATCAGTTAAGCATAAAAAGGAGTTAAAAAGAAGAAATTTATAAAAAAGGCAGTTTTTTATTACACAAATTGTTAAGCTGGATAACTACCACAGAATCTTCAGAAAGTTTAGTGATGTTTCCTCCATTGTATAATCGTCTTAAGCATCTGTTTCTCCTTAACCAACACATACACAGATATTATATGTGCGTGTTTGTGTGCATCTGCCTTTTAACGGCCTTAATGACATCATTAGAGCTAATGAGCGTTTCCTCTCTTTGTCGGTTTTTGTGTGTGTATGTGAGATTGCATGTGCCATCTCATGCTGACTTGGGAACACACAAACGCCACATGACCCCAGGTGATAAATGGTGGATGGAATGTTCTCCAACTCCTGATGGGACAATGAGAGTGAGTTTGATGTAAAAAAGTGTGGGGAAACTGAAAAATCTAGTTTTAGACCTTAATGTCCACTAAGCTGCTGGAATTGATCTGCTCTGCCCTTTCAAACAACATGTGTCCTGAGAAGATGTAATCTTCATAACATTGTAATGGTGTGATTTATTTTTGAATAATTATTCCACATTTAAAATTTATGAATGATGAAAAAAACTTTTATATGGCAAAAATGCCAATAATTAAACTAATTTTATCTTGCTTTTTTAAGACAAAAAATTGATTTTGTTCAAATAACTATGTTATTAACAGAATCACAAAGTTATTAACATGACTCAAGACTTTTATAATGCATTTTTAAACACACACATGTTTTATCCAACTAAAAAAAGCACACCTGTATTGAGAGTCCAGGTGTAGATCGGTCAGCACAAACATATCGTTGGGAGTCAAAGCCTATGCCATTGCAGCAGTCTTCTTCCTGATGTATGACCTTTGACCCACAGCACTGCAGCAGCACTGTTGCGTTGCCAGCAGGGTGTATTGTGGAAAATCCTTCATTGTCAATGCAGCAAAGAGAGTTTGAAGAGTTTATGTACTCGTGACCACAGCACACAAAGCCTGAAAACGAGAGAAAAATGTTGCCGTTACTGATCTTGGTGCATTAACTCTGGTGTAGCACATTTTAATTCATGAAGTACATTATATTCTACAAAATGTACATTTTACCAATATCATTGAAAATGCATTGTAGAATGGTGTGGTACATTGCTGCTCCACTTGGCAAACTATTTTCCCTGCTTTTCTTTCCATCTGATCAGCACAGCAGCATTTAGGCTGTGCAAAATATTACTGGGTTTATTTTCTTATCATTCCTATATACATCCACCCATCCTATTCTCTCCATCCACCCCTGCGTATCTCTGTTCTTCTCTTATATTCACGGCTCAGCAGTAATATTCAAGCTGCACTGTCAAAAGAGTGTAAAGTAAGAGGAAGTGTGTTTTTCTGAGAGCTGTCGTTTCTGACAGTGATAGGTGATGTCTGTCTGCCACTGCATCACCTTCAGCACCAAGGTGACATTTAAAATACATGCCATCGCTCTGTAAATGTTTAGCAGCAGAATATCAAATTTAAAATGTGTTTCCTCACTTTCTCCTGAAACTCATTTTTTAGGTTGAGGAAATTTGAGTTGCTGCACCTGACAGAAAACTGCTGAGGTGGCTGCAGATTCAATGTAGAATTCCATGTATCAAATCAATTGGTTCAAAGCAATGACCTAATAAAGTAGGAAATGTGCTCTCTTATAAAACTTAATTCATTTAATGAAAATTGTACTGTGCTACCCCACCCTCCTCCCACAAAAACAACAATAAAGTAAAATCTACTAATCTATGACAAATCATTCCTCAGTTGATCATCTACAGTATATCAAGTTTTCAGGCTATAGCTCTTTGGGTGTCACCTTGTTAGTGCTGAAATAAACTCTCATGTTTTGGCAGCAAAAGTCCAGTGCCAAAAAGTATGACAAGCAAACCCTCAATCTTGTTACTTCCTGTTTTTATCCTTTAATGACAAGTTTAACACTGTGCAAAAAAATTAATTTGTAGAAACAAGGCTGTTGGGGTAGCAAACAACAAAGCTAAACAACACCAAATTTTTTCCATAAAGCAGAGATCAGAGCAGTCTTACTATTGATAGAGACACAGAAGACAAGATCATTCTGGGACTCCTGGAGGAGGCAAACTGCCGGGACAGAGCATCAGGTTTGACTTGTCATGATTCAGGTCAATACATGATGGAGAACAGGAAGTGGGCAAAGAACAGAGACCATTAAGCTTGTCCGGAATTCAGTCTTCAGGCAGTTGTAGGTTTGCCAGGTGTTACAATGGTCTTGTGATTCAAAGTTTGCCTGCCACACAGGTATTTCAACCTGGAGAGACTCATGAGAAGACAGACTGAAATTAGGAAGTTTATTGACATGACTGATTTGCAGGTTTATTGACACGAATGACATAGTTTGGTGCTCAGACCCCAGCAGAGGATGCGAGCGCTGTGAGATGCTGTTAGCTTGGAAGAGCTGCTTAAGATAAGGGGTAGGAGTTTTTTCTTCCCCCGGGGCTCGACACTGGTGGTGGAGGTCAAAGAGAGGGAAGTCCTTGGAAACCAGAAGATGAAGGGAGGAGGAGGAGAGGTGGAAGGCTGACGTTCAGCTGGCAAGCAGACAGAGCAATTGAAGAGGATGCTTTTATCCACTGACAGTCAAACACTGATTGGATGAGGCTGGGCTTGTGACACGGCGGCTGGATGGAGCAGGTGAGGTTGATTAGTCTTCCAGGGTTGAACTTTTGTCTAGACTCCATTTCTTGCACCATTCATTTTTTGCAGCACTTGTTTTGGTGGCCTACTTTGGGTAAAGATGCCACTGAATATGTTGGTGCTTGTTCAGTATGTGCCCAGAACAAGAGAGGTAATCAAGCCCATTCTGGTATGCTGCAGCCTCTGCCCACCTCCAACTGCCCATGGTCCAACATCTGTGGACATTGTCCCTGGACTTTCACCTGCTGAAGGTAACACATTTATACTATCATCAACATATTCTTGAAAGCTGCCCACTTCATCCCATTGACCAAACTGAGCCCTTGAGATGGCTCAGTTGATGGTCCAGCACGTTTTCTGCCTGCATGGCATACCCTCAGATATTTTATCAGACAGAAACCCTCAAATTGTCTTTCAAGTATGGATGGAGTTTTGTAAAGCGATGGAGGCTACCCATCCCCAGTCTAATCGTCAGACCAAATGGAGGAGTCAAGAGTTGGAGGCCTCATTAAAGTGTGCAATCAACCAAAATCCAGAGTCTTGGTGTTTGCAACTACCATGGATTGAAAATGCCCATAGCTCATACATCATCTGCTACCAGGTAGTCACTTTTTGAGTCCTCATTGAGCTAACAACCTCCTTTGTTTACTGTTCAGAAGTCTGACATTGCTACCCTCTATCATCTTCGAAATTGCAGAAGGCTTTGGAGATGAACCAGAGCTGCCCTGCTACATACTGCAGAGCAAGCGCTGGGCCGACAAGAGGTGAGTGCTTAGCTCTGTATATTCTCCAGGACAAAAGGTATGGCTGTCTTCATGAGACATGCCATTAAAGGCCACTTCTAGAAAGTTGGCCACAAATTCCTCTGTTCTTTTGAAGTAAAGAAAGTTATTAATTATATGGCAAGCTCCCAGCCTTGATCCGTATACATCCTACCTTCCATGTGTCCCAGTTAGAACTCTCTTCTCCCCACCAACCATCCCTTCCTCTTCCTGCATGGCTTATCGACAACCGCTCTTCCTACACCGTACAGTAGGATTCTGGACGTCCGTCGCAGAGGCCGTGGACTCAAGGATTTATTTGATTGTGGGGGCTACAGCCAGGAGGAATAGTTATGATTGTTCATTTTGGACCCTGATGTCATTAGAGATTTTTAACATTCTCAACCTGAGAAATGCTTTAGGTCGCCAAGTGGTGACCATTAGGGGAAGGGTACTGTATCCTGTGTTCATTCCTGCTGGCTTTAAAAATCTTTTCTACAGTGATGAGAAGTGGACTCTTTTACCTGCGTCTAACCAGCTGTTGCTTATCCATGGCTGATTTCCCAGGTGTTATAAGCAGAACATAGAGCTGTTCTCATTGCTGGAGTGTCACACATCAACCAGTGATCCTCTGAGCTGCAGAGTCTTTTTTTATTTTCTGAGCTGCAGTGTCTAAGCTATTGTGCTACGGACTATGGTGTTGAAATTTTCCTAGACTCTATTTAAGACAAAGTTTACTTACTCTATGCTCCTCTGCAGTTCACCTTTCATGGAGTCCTCCATTTCTCCAACCTGTAAAAAATATTTTGCTGACCCTTTTGATAAACGTTTTACCGATTGCCTTTTTCACTTTCTTAAAGATTAATCAATCTCCCTCTCCTTTGCAGATCAGTTCTGGCACCACTTCCGGTCTCCATTTTAAAAGAAAAGTCTCTAATTTTCCCCACTTTTGGTTGTTTGTATTTTTCCTGGCACACTTCAGACCCTGTATTAAATTCAGTCCAAAATGACATGTCTGTTATACACTGGTACAGTATATGCACTGGGTTGTTCATCCAACACTTTGTGCTGTTGAGACAAAAGCCTGCCTATTTCACTTTGAATGCATAACTGACCTACAGGGTGACAGGATACTGCTGTCATTTGCAAATGAGCAGTGGTAAACCAAATGTCACCATCATGAATTTTTTTGTGTAGGTGCTTCATGCTGCGCTCTGCAAGATGCCGCCCTGGGTGGCTCATACTAAACCCACATCCATACTTAAAGTCATCACTGATACCAGGTTTTGGCCTTGTGTTGGATTAAGTTAATATTATACTTTGATACTGAGTCAGCAGCTCCCTGCTGTGATAGTACATTATAAATACAAATGAGCACGAAACGGCTTGACTTAAAATGTGTAATAATTGCAGAACATCAAACCAATTTTAGTAAAAGTCCAACGTAAAGGCTTTTGATACTAAAATACAGGTTTTCGTGCTGAAAACCCCTTTATTCGTATACCTTTTTTCAATGTTACAAGAAAATATGCATCTCATGAGCTGCAAAATTATGTTAAAATTGATGACATGATTTTCTGTGGCACCATCTACCCCCAGCTGTGGTACCCATTTTATTTAACTGCGGACATTAAACACCAAGTCACTGCTTTGTATCACGGCCTCAGCCTTTTAATGGGGCTGCAGCTAGTTATGAAGTGATAAATAACTTATTGTTTCACGCTCTAATCAGCATTCACACTTTGAGCACATTAAATGCTGTTAATTTAAGCAATCATTCCACTGAAAGGCCAAAAGTTGAGAATGGCACATATTTTCTACTGTGCTGCTGTGGAGCATTATGTCCTCAACACATCCATCACAGGCACTGTGTGACAGGAAAATGCTAGTGTATGTGATTGTGTGACATAAAGGCAGTCTGACGGCTAGTAACTCACTTAGCAGCGGCAGCTGTTGTGAAGCGTAGCGGGGTCTTGGTGGCCAATTCCCACTGAGCCTTACTTCAGCTTCAATGACGCGCAAATAAACAGCTCAACACATTTCCAAAATAGCTTTGCTCTACTCATCTCTTGTCCTCTCAGCATCCTCATCTTTACTCCTCTTTTCTATTCAAACACACAGCTTACACACAGGTTTCACTCTCCTCTTTTTAATCTCCCACTAGCCAACAGTATTTATCTATGCCCTCTGTTGGGCCAGACCCCAAACCTAGTAAGTTCTCTGTAGAGATAAATCCTAAATACATAGAACCTGACGTGAGGGAATTATTTCATGTCTTTCTTCCAGTCTTTTCTTAACTCACTGAGATCATTCTGTCACCACTATTTATTTATTTACAGTTTTTTAACCAGGCAAGTCCCGATGAGATCTCAGATCTGCTATTTTTAATCTCTTATTTAAAAAATGGTATACAGTACTTCAACCCACTGTCTTTTTGTACACAAATTTAACATTTCTTCTTATTTTTCTTTTTACAATAAATTTACTGCTTTTTCTATGTCTATTTTCATGCCTCAACTGTTTCCACCTTCCTCTGATGCA